TTGTTTGGGTTTTAAATTTTAATTGCTATGTTTGAATACGGTAGCACCTTTCAAAATAATACGGTAGCACCTTCCAAAATAATACGGTAGCACCGTTGAGAAACCTAAAAATTTTACCCTTCGGAGGCGAAATAATACGGTGGCACGTGCCACCGTATGCTCCCATACAGGTCCGCCCTTGGTTTGATATTTGTATTAGGTGCCCACATATTCACTTATGAACATTGTTTGACATTCATGTAGATTCAATGTGAGGAACATTGTTCAACATGTAAGTTCAAAGTTATGCACATTGTTCAACATTCATCTTAAACATACTGTAGGTTCAATGTTATGAACATTGTTCAACATGTATGTTCAATCTTATGCCCACATGTTCACTTATGAACATGTAACTGCTTATTACAAACGCTAAAATCATGCAATCCTTAGAAAATGTAACCGTCTATTATTATACATTAAAAGCAAGACCAAATAGACATTTACATTCTTACCCTCATTAAATACCTATATCATATGAATCAACTAAACATATTCTTTGTTTCCGATTGTTGAATAGAGGTTTCTAAAGTTAATAACTTTTTATTAGTTAACAAAAGAACTTGCACCTATATATACAGGGAAAGTTTCATTTGAGAAGTAAAGAAATGATCTTATCTCTTCATCCGGTCAACATTTGCGACTTTGGCCGTGAATCACCGGACAATTCCTCGCATGGATATGCGCAATATAGAGGGGTAGTTTCATAACTTTTACAAATAGACGACCAATGCTTCATTTGTGAACCCATGTGATATACAAACACATGTCAAACAATATGTTAAATTATAGCTTTTGATAAAAAAAATGTAAAAAGATGGTTTTATATCGGCTCTCACAAGTTTGTAACCCCTTTTGTGGTTCTCATTTGATTATTGTCCTATATATGTGTATATATAATACCCTGTAATTATCATAATTATAATTTACCAAATATTTGTACTTATTCTACAAGACAAACCATTTTATCAATCAACATGATTTAGTTCAGGTTTCTGATAATAGAAGCAAACGTATTGTTTGTGTACGACCCCATAGGTTTACATACTCATTGACAGTATTTCTGTGTAACAGGTGTCGTAGGTATATAATAACTTACATCATTTATTTCACATTGTGAAACAAAACAATATTCCTTATGTGAAACAATGTAGTTTGTTTCACTATATGAAACAATATATTGGTTAACACTTAAATGTTGTTCCGCACTAAGAAACAAAATAGTGTCATTGATATAAAATAGTAAAATGCTGATTTACATAGTGAAAATATACAATATGAAACAAAGTAGTGTTGTTTCACAACGTGAATAACAAGTGTCATTGACGTGAAATTCACAAAGTGAAAATAGCATTGTTTCACTATCTGATAAAAAATAAGTGTGATGTGAAACATGACGTGTAATATTGAAATTTTATTTCGTAAAATGAAATAATACTTGTAATGTTTCATGTGAAATTATAATGATTAAAGAATCTAAAGTTATATGTCGATATAGAATAAACATGCTGTGCCGGGTGACTGGAATCCTCTGACGGAACACATCGTCAATAAAAGAAAAGGGTCCCTGCCAGGGCGCACAGAGGTTTGTCCCGGTCCAAACGGTTTACCCGCTTTCCTTCCGACCTTGGTTTTACCTACTGATGACGGGGCAACATCGGGATATCAAATAAAATAAAAACAAGCCTTTATTTGACATAATCTTTCAATTTAAATTTTATTATAGTTGATATATGGATTAAAAACAATGTTTCATTTTAGTTTTAAAATATAAAAAACCTATATGGATAATGAGTTGGACTCTAGTGAGAAGGGAAGTTATCGTGAAAAACGTAAGAAGAGATTTACATCATTGGATCAATCATAGTTGGATGTTAACACTAATGAGGTGCATCGAGGTGCATCGAGATGCACCAAATCAAATCCTTTTTAAAGTGCAATTCATGAGTGGACATAAGATTAAAAGTAGGAGTGCTCAAAAACCTGACCAACCCGATCAACTCAACCCAACCCAACGCGAAATAACTCAACTCGAAGCAACCCAATGTTTAATCGAGTTGTAAAAGTTTCAAACCGTAGGTATTGATTTACTATTATTTGAACCCAACCCGATGAACCCGATATCATTTTATTTCTTGGATTCAATATGATGGTTGAGTTTATATTAATATATACATTAGACAATTACATTATCACATATGCTCTTCATATATACATATTTTCAATCTATTCTCCATCTCTATATAACTCATTCGTATAAATGTCCAGTAACTATGAACATATATATGTAAATTGAGAAAATTAATTAAATGTGATATACGTAAGAAGTATGGATAAGTCGTATCAAATGGTTGATGATGAAAAAGAAATTATGAGTAGAGAAATAACATATTCAAGGTTAGAAAAATATTTTAATGTACCAAAGTATCAACCCGACTAACCCGATCAACCCATACAGTTTGGGTTGGGTTGGGTTGGGTTAAGATTTTTCAAACCGCAAACATTGGATTGAGTTGTTCAAATGTCTTCAACCCGATCAACCCAACCCATGAGCACCACTAGTTAAAAGTAATCAAGAGTTCAAATATCTTATTACGCTTCTCATTATAACTTCTCTTCTCTTCTCATACGATCCTTGGTCCATAGATAATTCAATGAAAAATAAGATAAATTAAAACATAATCAAATGAGAAGGAACATAGGAACCCACTTTGCAAACATTTTACCGATCCACTATAAGAAAAGTGAGTTTCAGCAACGTGTTTTTAACGGCGAAAAGTTTCATCTGTAAGCTATAGTGACAACATATCGTCTCTATAAATGACTTCTAAAGATAAATGAATTTTTTTTATTAACCTGAATATTCCGACTAATTACAGGGTGACCACCTGCTTTGCAGTTAGCCCGGAATCGCATTTGAACTTCCATAGCCACAAGGGGATTTGTATTTCTCCTTGGATAGTTGGATTTGAACCCAGGACCTGCAGACACTTTTGATCTTTAGAGCCGAAACTCAAACCAATCAGACACCACCCTCATGGTTGATAAATGGACTTTTGATGACGATAAAAAATCATTGTTAAAACCTTTGTTTCTTGTGTCGGGATAAAAATAAACAACATTATTGAGTTGCAAATTATGGGAGGGTGAAGCATGGAAACGTGGTTCGATAAAGTGGCATTGGAGAGTCCGGAAAGGAGAACACGGGAAATCAGTGACACCTCAATTGGCTCACTGTCCCAACTCCCAAGCCACCATTGGCGACCACCGTAATTAACACCTCTAAGCTGTCCAAATATTCTCTCAATCAATTATAAATACCCCAGTTCTTCGACCACCATATTCTGAATTGATTTGATTGTCGTAAAGTCTCTCTTATTTATCTGTATTCAAGCTGTCATCTTGCTGTATGTTGTGCTTCCTCTCTCACATACAACACTCTCATATTGTTCATTCTCATGTTGTTTAATTTGATCAATGACTCTGTGTGTTGAGCTTGATTAACCTTGTGGATTGTTTTCTTGTAGTTTTGACCAAAACCAACGAGCGATTTTGGATCCTTCTCTTTGGTGTGTAATTGAGAAGATCTGATTGACATGGAAAATCGCAAGGATGAGGTATGATTTCCTTCTCTTCTTATCACTGTTTGTATTGTAGTCTCTGTTGTTTTATGATTTTTTTTTTAGGATTTCTGAATTTTAGCTACTGATAACTGAGGTGTAATTTTATGTTCGATGATTCTTTTCTGATTCCTTGGTAGAAAGTTGAAAAACGTTTGAAAGTGATGTTATGTGTACTCGGATAGGGTTTGATGCTTGAATTTCATTCGTTTCACTGAGCAACTGGCTCCTAGCTTTGTCAACAGTGAGGATGCGAAAGTTGAGTTTTGAGGCGTTTGGATTTGATATGGTTGATAACTTTCGATTGTGTGATGTGATGATTGGTCAAGAAAAGTTTAGAGCTATGGTTTCTGCTACTCCTGCCATTTTTGCCATTTTGTAGGGCAAGGATGGGAGTCGATTTGAGTATATTGGCTCTCACGATTGTTTTGATTCCCTTCTCTTTTTCCAAAATAGGGCATGGCAAGACTGTTTCTGAACCACGGTTTTTGGGTAGCTACTGCCGGCCATGTTTGAATAATCAAAGCATAATGATGCTGAACATTAAAATACTTTGACACTTCATAAGATGCAAATTATGCTTGACTTTTTGAATATGTGCGTTGTCCCTCTTGAAAAGGTTCAATGTTTGGAGAAGTAACTCACATTTGTTTATGAAATTTACCATGAATGTAGATTGTAGGTCGTTCCATTAACTAACGAAGCAAAACTGTTTTCATTTCCCCATTGTATGTGCTTTAGATGGTGTTACAGTGGTAATAACTTGTTTAAGTGGTGTAGAAAAATGCACCATGGCTATCAGTGCCCCAATTTGGGGACTGGGATCAAAAGGGACCACTCCCAGACTATTCTTTGGATTTCTCAAAGATCAGAGAGATGAGGAAACAGAACAAGAGAGATATATCAAGGGCTAGCATTGGTAACGAAGAAGAACTCATCTCTTCCAACACTGCCAAACTCAATACAGCAAACAACAGTGCTCCTCACCACAGTTATGAGGAGGACCACCACTCTCCAACTGTAAGCAACTTCACTTTCATATCCCATCTCTGTAGTACTACTTTTATTGCATCTTTCCTAAAATAATAGTCTGTTTTGGATTCTTTAGAATCATTGCACAACATTTTTAGTTCAAATCACTGATTCACAACAGTTGCTGACAGAAATTTTAGTCACTGCATTGAAGTGTACAATAAATGGTAAAAATTCAAACGCTTAGGTGCTAACATATAGAGACTCCATACCATATTGTATTTTGGAAAATGCTCGTCTCTAATATCATTAGTTAATAGGGCTCTCATTTCATAATCATAGTGCCATAGTTTGGATCTCTCTTTACTTTGATGGGATTATTTTCTGCTAATGCTTGCTTTATGTTGTCCCTAGTACCTCTTTCGTTTAATAAACAATAAGTAGCTATCATAAGTAGATTGCACATATCCTATCTCTTTGTTCTCCAGATCTTACAATTAAATCAAACATCTTGTATCAAATTACCCTTAATGATGGGTTTGAGTATGCAAACATGATCAACCATTTCAGCAATCTTACCACCGCCCTGACAAACCACCACCAGCGCCATGCACCGCCATAACAGCTTGGCTGCATAATTTAAATTTTACCAAACCAATACGCCAAGCTAAGTTCTATTGGAGTATTGGCTTTTGGATGTCTAGTTATTCTCAAGTCGATAGGATCAAAGTTGAAGCTCTAGTTGCTGTCAACAAATACAAAGAATAGCTAGGATACACTCAACCATACCTTGGCTAAGAAGGCAGCTGGTGGTGGGACCTCAACCGTTGCTGATTGTTTAGCTGTTTCCTTTTCATGGTCTACATCTTTGTCAAAATTTGTTTGGCTCGCACATGACAATTTTGGCTCATGATGTAGACACACATGTAGATAAATCCACAATTAGACGTAAGTTTGGAAACATGACATGATAACCCAAACCAAACGATCGTAATATATCCTACTCAGAAGGTGGGGTTGGGGGTAAGTGGGGTTGGGGGTAAGATGTATGGAGCCTCATCTCTATCCAAAAGAATAGAGCAGTTATTTTTTATAAAAGCCGGAACTAACATATCCCCATAATCTAAGGCGAAGGAACATGTGAGAAGGAAAGTTATGGTGAGAAGCATAAGAAGAGATCTGAACCCTTGATCACTTTTAATCTCATGTCCACCCATAAATTGCGCTGTAGAAGGGAATTGATCTAGTGCATCCCAGTACACCTTATTAGTGTTGATATTCAATTAGGATTGATCAGGGATGGAGATTTCTTTTTACGCTTCTCTCTATAATTTCCCTTCTCACCGAAACCCAACCCCATAATCTAAACCACATAAACTTTAGACAATAAGGAATGCCAGGTGCTTAAGCTTTCCTTTCGGTTATGCCAAGAGGTTGTAACGTGCATACAAGTCACAAACTGCCCTTAGCATGGTTCTTCTTTTTTCCCATTTACTGATATTATGGAAAAAATCAACGTATTTTGGTCCATTACCTATTTTATGTAACATACTTTCAAAAACTTAATTTTTTGGTATCTTATAACATAACGTTTCAAATATTTAGGTATCGAGTTATATATGAGAATGCATGAAAATGGAATGTAATTCAGTTTGATTTCTACTTTATTTAACGTGGTTTGATCTAAATGTTTGAGATAAGATCACCACATAAGATATTAGAATAAGATTTGAACGTAGGTAACAAGAAAGATGCTATGGGAATGTGCAAGCATGTTATCACCCAATAATGTATGGTTGGCATGGAATGTTTTTATAAGTTATTAATGAATCATTTCTATCTTTTATTTAAAAATTTCTATCTTAAAAAGCTCGTACTTTTCACAAGCCAGGGTGGATTTACATAAGCACTTCTTTTTACCTTTTTGAGATAGACAACTGGTCTAAAAACAAACACACACACACACATATATATACATATATACATATATATATACATATATACATATATATATATATATATATATA